TTTCTATTCACCCACTGAACAACTCAAGATGAGGTCCATATTTCAAGGTCTGTAATCACCAGTAAAGCCCCCTTTTCCAGGGAAGGAAAAACACCCAGAGGGTAGGACACGGACATTTTTAGAAGTGGTAGGAAATAGTTTTCTCTCGCTCTGAAAGTGCAGGTTCTTTTCTCAGAACCTGCTTTGTTCTCTTCCAAGATCCCAAACCCAATTCCTGGGGGTGCACTGTATGACCTGAGTGTTGCTGAGGGACCTCGGTCATATGACGTTCGGACCGTGGGTGGCGTATGCCCACGAGATTGCAATATACTGTCCCCTCCAGGTTTGTGTAAATACACTCCCTGGTGTTTGAACAAGGATGGAAGCATCGTCACAGTCTTTACCATCAATGATGAGTTACGTTTCTCAGAACGTATCCCCATTAGCCCGCCCGCCCTCACCGTATTGACATCTAGGTAACAAAGCACTACTTAGAGACCCTAACCCTACGTGGTTTAAAATACGCTCTGTGCATGTCCTAGTCCTGGGAGATGTCTCTGCTAACGGAGAAATGCTTTGAAGTGGTGGCTCTCACTAGAATCTCACTCTTCCCCCTGCTTTCTCTGTCCTTCCACTGCACTCCAGAGTTTGTAAGAGAGACATGTGTAACTACATCCTGAGTGTCAATAATTTTGTCTAAAATTTCTAGACAGTAGAAAGTCAGAATCTATCAGACATAGTAACAGCAAAAGCCAATGTTTAGTCAGTGGTTAGACACACTGGCTCCACGGAGCTCTCTAGATAAGAGAATCTGGAGTCTAGATGTGGCCCTGATCCTGCTTATATCTCCAAGGGTTCTAGGAACTGTTCTGGAAACGTCACTCCAGCCTGCTGACTGAGTGTAGTAACCAGGACGACAACACACCGATGGCCTAAAGTAAACAACCCTTGCGGAAACTGAAATCTGAGTTCAGATCACATCGGAACTTGTGCCCCCTGGTTCGGCACTTGGCCTTTCTATGATAGCGGTCCTGTTGACACGGGTACATGCAGATAAGAAACACTGACTTTGGTGTGAGGCCAGCAGAGAGCTCTGCATTCTATAAATAGAACTGAGCGACCTCTGCCCCGGAGTGATGAAGGCAGTTCTTGGGAAGGCATACCTTTCCAAACACAAAAACGCTTCCCGTTGGGTGGCTGGGTCCTGCATCCCAGGCTTTTGTTTGAGTGAAGCTGGACACTCCTTTTCCACGATAAAGTTCTAGATGTGATGAAAGGCCAGCTAAAGTCTCAGCCCGCTGAATATTTCCCATAACCACATAAGCATTTAATGTAAATCAGTGCTAGGTAATATTTAACCGAAATACACAGCTCCTACTGTGGAGATACGGGGTCCTCCCCTGTGAACCAGAGCGCCTAGGGACAAAAGAAGGGAGCCACTGTGGTGAAACTCGCCCTGGCTCTGTGGACTCTGGGCTGACAGCTCTCCCTCATGAGGACAGCCTGGGCTCTAAAGTCAGCCCTGCTTTGTCCTTAGAAGGCCGTGGTGGGGCCACATGCTCTGAAGTTTAAGTAGATAGAACATTGGGGGCACTGCTCTTTCTTCCTGGGATAAATCAGGGCACTAAAGAACACCTGTAGTCTGGCTTGCCTCCTCTGTCCTGCTCCCTGGTGACTTAAGACTCTTCCTTGTGTGCGGATGAACGCTGACAGTGGAGAGTGTCTGTAGCTAGTGTACTGTATTACCATGGTTCTATCAGGAATAAGGTGACGTAGGAGGTTATATACCCCAAAGACTCGGCAAGGATGGAGAATGGGAAACCACAGAGCAGGTCGCCTTGGGAGAACCCTCAGACATCACATGTAAGGGGGGAAGAAGACACCAAAACTTGCAACAGTAATGGAGCAGTGGAGAGGGCTGACCTCAGAGAAGCAATGACCGTCACCTGAGGCTGCAGCTACACTGGACTGAGCCCATAGGGACGGCTTCAGGAAAACGCCCTCCCCCCCATCTACCCAGGGCTCCTCATAGCCAAACACAGCAGAAGTTGTCGGGTCCTAGGGACAAACAGAAGGAGATGCTTAGTGGGGGTGGGGCCGGGGTGGGAGCGCGGAGGGTGGGGCTCGGGGTGGGGCCAGCGGTGGGAGCGCTGAGGCTGGGGGGGGGGGGGGGGGAGGGGGGGGGGGGGGGGGGGAGCGTGGAGGGGGGGGTAGGGCGTGGGAGCGTGGAGGGTGGGGCCGGGGGTGGGAGCTGGTTACTTTTCTCACTGCTACGATGAAGTAGATGAAAAGAGAAAACTTAAGAAAATGATGGTTTACCCAGGCTGTGTGTACAGCCCATCCCAGCAGGGAGGTCATGGCAGCCAAGGGATAGTCACAAGGCCTCCACAGACAGGAAACGGAGAGGAGTGGCCTCTGGTGCTCAACTTGGCTTCTCCTTGTTCAGTGCAGCCCGAGGGTGCCGTTCACACTCACGATCGGTCTTCCTTCCTCAGGTAAACCTTTCTGGAAATACCCTCGTAGCTTGCCTAGGGATTTATGCCCACAGGGACTGTAAATCCAACTGAGACAGAACAAAGTTTAGAGTAACCACCACTTAGCTCATGTATCAGGGTCAGGATCTGAACCGTGCAGGAAGATGGACACAGCCCACGCTCTGGAGACTTGTTCCGTGAGCACAGGGGAGCGCCATTCAAGGCGGAAGATTCTAGGCCATAGTGTCTCCAGTTTACAAGTGCATGAAGCCGGGTAGAGAAACCTTCATAGTAACTCTTCTTCACAGTGTCTGTGTGAGCTCATGTGTTCATGCATGTTTGTATGGAATCGAGCCCATGTCTTCAACCCTGACCTCAGTGCCCTTCCCCTCTGGGCCATCCATCTTGCTTCACTATCCTGTTACCCAGGCTTGCCCAGGACCCCAGATTCCAGCTGGCAGAACTGAGATTCAATCTCAGGTCTGACCCTCTGGCTCTCATTTTATGCATGACACCTTCAAAGCAACCCTTTCCATCACAGAACTCTTAACTGAGAGAAAAAAAAAACCAGTTTGGTTATGGTGTGAAATCTCTGACTCCAGCTTCTAGACAAGAGCTGGGAACCGGAGTCCTAGGAGATCAGAACGGTGTTATTTCCTTCCTCGGAGCAAGGACTAAAATAGCAGCACCCTCTGAAGTGGGCAGAAACACAAGACAGTCTGGTCTGATGTCTGAGGTCACGGCTGAGCTGGGCAAGTGGCGAGGGCCCCCAGCTCAGCTGACAGGAACAGGAAGGGCTATACCTGCCAGGGAGGTGAATGGGGGCTGGTTGGGGGGGACTACATGGTCTAGGTCCAGAAAAGAGCTCCTCTTGCAGAACTGGGGTTTTGTTTGCTGTGGGACAGATGTGGGAGTCACACAGACTGACCGTACATGGTGGCAGTTCTGAGGGAAGAGTGTGAATGGGGAACAGAGACCGAGACGCGGAGCAGTGGCCAGTCAGTACCTGCCCAGCTTCTCCTTTGCTTCCTGCTCTGGGTAGTTAGCCGGTCTTCCTGGTTCTCAGGGCCAGAGGAGCGATGGTCTTTACAGACAGAGATCTGTCAGGCAACAATACCACAGCTGACATGCGCTTCTCAGAGTGTGAGGTCCCTAGACTGCAGCATCCAAGTCACCTTGGAGCTCATTTGACAGCGAGATCCTCCCTGTGTCTTAATACAAGGCACAGTGACCAGGGTGGGTTCCAGCAGGCCTGTCTCCCGAGTGTTCTCTCTGCGCAGGGCAGGGTGCAAGGGTCACAGCCAGGGCTTCAGGGTCACTTCTGATTCCCCCCGAGCAGCAGTTTTCAATGCGTGCAACCCTGCGACTGGGTGGAAAATGCAGTCGCATGAGTCTGGCAGACCTACGGAGTCAGCAGCTCTGAGCTGGCCCGGCAGTCTGTTCCCACAAGCCCCCCAGAGAGTCTCAGAAACAGCTCAGCTTGTAACCAACGACTGATGAGCCATTGGCTCCTCACAGAGGCAGGAAGTCTCAGGAGCAAAGAACTCTAAGATGAGATCAATGGAGTCCAGGAAACGGGAAGAGGGTGGGTTCCCCTGAAAAGGGACACAGTATGATAAATATGGAGCAATATGTCGTTTTAGGAAGCAGAGAAGGTCTAGAGAAGACCAGAGACAAGGGTGTAAGACACCCCAAAATTCAGAAGAGGGAGACAGAGGAGCAGAGGTCTCTGCTTCTGAGGTCATGGGACTGAAGGGTGCTCCTCAGATTTAGGCAGTAAAATGCCACACTAAGTTTGGATTCTCATGGTTCTTGTTTTCACCGTCTTCTAATTTGTTCTGCTGACAATAGCTGTTGTCATAGTGCGTAGTGTAAAAGAGACAGGGATGTTCAGGTGTGTCACATGCTTCTTCCATTGAGAGACTCAATCCAGTAGGGAGGTAAGAACAGGAATGACCCATCATCCTTACACCACACTGTACGAAGGGAACGTCAACACCAAGGCTAAAGCTTGAGTGGAAAGGGACACACTAAAGGGGGTAGGGCACCCAGCAGCAGGTGGCCAACTCCCATGTTACAAACTTTGCGAGAACACTCAACATATTCAGTGGACAAACAGTTGGGTTTCACGGGGTCTTTGCATGGAGAAGGGCCAGAAGGAAGGCAGGGTTAGGAACAGGAAGGAGTGGGTGAATCCTCTCTCTGAATTAGGCACCCCAAAGCACGCTACGCCTCAATGATCTAACCCTCAGAGGACTCTGAGGAGCTGTGAGGTAGTGAAGACCACGCTGGAACGCTCGGGTTTTATACAGAGGTGGCCTTTGAAGTGTTTGAGGAGGAAATGGTTTGGGCATGATTTTCTGAGCGCTGGCTCTTTCTCCCTCCTGAATGATCACAAGCATTGCCTGAGGACACCAGTCCTCACTGCAGATGTGATGAGAGAGTCCTGGCTTGGGATCCCAGAGGACGCCAAAGCTAATGGTTAGGAGAAGCCACGGGCGCCGAGTCGGACACAACTTTAACATTGGTGTTCTGTTTTTCTTTCAGGGATGTCCAAGTCACGGGTGAGTATGCCTTGTCCTTCTCCATCCCGGACGTTGTGCAGTGTTCTGACCCTTGATGGCTGCAAATGGGCTTTGTTCACTTGACACACGCTGTGCTTGGGGCGTCAGGAGCGGTCCTGGGTTCTGCCGATGTCCTCGCCCTAAGAAATGGTGTTCATTTCCTGCTCATGCTGGTTGATTTGTTTCACTGCAGTCTATGTGGGGATGACAAGCACAGACTATAGAAATCACAGAATTCAAGATTCTGGGTCTGAATGGCACTGAGAATTTATTAAGTGTGCGTGGATTTTTGCCCAGCCTCTGGTGCTGGTGCGTGAGTGTGGACCAGTGATGGACATGTCTGGATATTATTTTCCTTTCTGTCAGAGCTGCTTTGGCTACCCCTTGAGCATCTTCTTCATCGTGATCAATGAATTCTGTGAAAGATTCTCCTACTATGGGATGCGAGGTAAGTCTCGAGCTCACCTCGTCCTTCTGTAAGAGCGTGAGTTCCCTTCGCCAGCCCTAACTCGGTTCCTCTCTCTCGCCTGCCGTGAAAAGCACTCCTGGTCCTGTACTTCAGAAACTTCCTCCGCTGGGACGACGATCTGGCCACGGCCATCTACCATACGTTCGCTGCCCTGTGCTACCTGACTCCGATTCTCGGAGCTCTGATCGCAGACTCATGGCTGGGGAAGTTCAAGTGAGTGACTGGGACTTTCTCATCACGCAAGCGCAGACACTCATTGTGAGCTTTGTGGTTTGGCAGGATAGGCGTAGGGAAGGAAGAGTCAAGGAAAAGGAGCTTGTAGGACATCTGTGGCCTTGTTTCTGCTTGCTATCACGTTCCTAACACAGCACTGTGAACTCAAGAAGGTTGTGTGTTTATCTTGGTTTGGTTTGTTTTGTTTATGCCCAGCCCCAACCAAACTGTATCATTTTCAAATAGTGGCAGGAACACTGCCTGTCACTGGTGAGGCTCAGCGTGCAGAGATGGGACAACAAAAAACTGCCTGATACTCAGGCCCTGCCACGGCAGGCTCGTGTGGCTTGGTGGATGGAAAGCCACTGTGAGCCCTCACCTAACCAGAGGACGTCTCGTGGGCACCACCAGGCTCTAACCAGAATCTCATCCTGGGCTCCTGTGCTATCCGTCCCGAGAGCTCACCTTTCTATCCAGTTTTGAAAAGCGGGCGGATCCATGGCTGGGCACTGGGAAGCTTTGTAGAATGGAAACAGACAGCTACCAGGCAATAAACTAGGATTCTCTCGCCCTTTCTAAACACAGGACAATTATTTCATTATCCATCGTCTACACGATCGGACAGGTAGTCATCGCGGTGAGCTCCATTAATGAACTCACCGACCACAACCAGGATGGGACTCCTGACAGCCTTCCTGTGCATGTGTGAGTCCATGGCTCCTGCTGCTCCACCCCATCCCCACCCCATCCCCTCACTCCCTCATCTCCTCACCCCTCACCTCTCACTCCCTCACTCCCCCATCCCCTCACCCCTCACTCCCCCATCCCCTCACCCCTCACCTCTCACCCCCTCACTCCCCCATCCCCTCAC